TGCAGAGTGGCTTCTTCATAAATACATTTTGTGGCTGTATTCATTCAGCAGATGTGACCTCCCCCTTAATAAAGCAGCCGAGCACTCATTACCATTACAGGACAGTGTGTATGTACAGTATATCATGATGTAAACTACCTAAATGGATGTACGGTGAGGTTTCATAGTGTTCTGATGCTGTTTGTCAACATAATCACAATCTCTTATTTGTCTTTAACTTGTTTACAGTGTTCATATTCCATCTTGTTTTATTAACTCTCTAGAGACGTTGTTAAAAACAAAAGCGCCAGGCTTGCTAGTAATATTGTATGTCAAACCATATAGTAATTTTGAATTGCAAAAATAGTGTTTTGAATTGTAGGCTTAAAAAAATACAAGAACCCTGGGTACCAATATAAACTACCTTTAAAAAAAAATGCTACAAATGCACTAAATGTGGTCTTTTTAAGACATGTTGTAGACAGAGGCTTGCCTCTTGAGTATAGAGTAAATGCATTGTTTGATACCTGGTGGCAGGTAAAGTGCTGACTCGCGTGAAGAAAACTGAAGGTTCAACATCCACTCTGACCCCCAGACTGAGCTCGCGGTAGTAGCCCTCCACCTGACCGGCTCCTCCGCTGTATTTAAAGGTCAACACAGCCTCCAGTGTCTACAGAGAGACAGACAGACAGAATAAAACACATCAGTAACTGAAACACACCAGAATCATGGATCTTAAGCACAGACCAATTCATTTACAATTGAAGAAATTCAAAAATCCTGAATGGCTGCTTATGATCACATGACCTTTAACAGGAACATTAAAGCATCAGCTCATCCAAAATTGAAAACAGTATTGTTTACTCATATCTCACGTCACTCCAGACTCTTTATGCTGGTCTTTTTCATACGACGAAAGCATGTAGAGGCTTGTCTGGCTGTCGAAGAATAACACGAAAGCGCCATAAAAGCACTGTATAAGTAGTCCCTGTATCTTGTGCCCTGTGCCCAGTGATTTGATAGCTTTGTATGAGAGACCAAATAAGTTGTTATGACTTCAAAAAACACATTCATATGAAATACTGTTTGGTACTTTTATGGTGCTTTTTTTGTCCTTTATGGAGCTTAAATGCCACTGGTCACTCGCTGCTTTAGTTGTACTGAATAAAGTAGCTCTGAAATTCTTACATTCCACAAATAAAAGAAAGTCTGGTTTGAAGGGTGAATAAATCATGGCAAAATGCTTAATTTTCATTGTAGGTACAAAAAATGCAACGCAACG